ACTTGAGTGGACTATGGTCAACATTTTGGGTAAACAATCCCGGATCAGTAATTTGATGATTCGAGTAGGTTCATATTGGACTTGGGTGTATGCCCGTAATTGAATTCGGAGTTCATATGTTGATTTGTCTCGTTTTGCCGAAAGTTAGCAATTTGAATGTTTGGAAACTTCCTAGGTTTGACTATAGGTTGACTTTATAGTTATCAGATTCAGATTTTTGGTTTTGGGAAATGGAATAGGTCCGTTTTCTTATTTGAAACTTGTCTGCAAAAATTGGTGCAATTCCAAGTTGGTTTGATGATAATCAGACGCTTGGTTGTGTTTCTAGCTGCTATTGAGTTTCTTTTTGAATTTCATGTGTTTTGATGTTCGATTCATGGTTCTAGATGGTATTTTGGTGTTTTTATCGCGCGAGAAAGTTCATATGATGTTATTACACTTGTGTGCATGTTTGGTTTGGAGTCAGAGGGGATCAGGTAAGTTTCGTATAGGCTTCGGATCATTTTGAACTTGTAAACTGCTGTTACTCGTGTCTTGTACTTCGCGATCGCAAAGTGGAAACTTCAGCCAGGGGCTGGTTCTTCTTTGTGAACGTGAGGTCAGGCCGCGAATGCAAAGCAATGAAGGTCTTACCCTTCGCGAACGTGACATGCATCTCACGAACACGATGCTTTGGGGGTGACCTATGGGGAATGGTTGTGGTCTTCATCACGAACGTGGTCCTGGGGATGAGAACGCGAACGCGAAGGCAGGCTGGATAATAATCCTTTGCGAACGCGATGAAGACCTCGCGAACGCGAATGTCGATTGCCCAATGCTCATCGCGAACGCGTCAGGTGCTTCGCGAACGCGTAGAACACCTGGCACCCAAATATGTAAAGTGCTGAAAGTCGGGATTTGGTCATTTTTCACCACATTTGAAAGCCTAGAGGTGATTGTGAAGAGACTTTCATCCCCACTTCAGTGGTTAGTGGTTTTTAACATTTTAACTTTTAATTTATAAATTTCACGGTCGAAATTAGGGATTTGGGTAGAATTTAGGGATTTTACAAAATTAAGATTTAAACCTCGAATTATGGTCAAATTTCGAAACAAATTACATAAACGGGCTTGGGGGTGAATGGGTAATCGGGTTTTGGTCTGAATCTTGGGTTTTGACCAAGCGAGCCCGGGGTTGATTTTTTCCAAATTAAATACAGATCGAATCTTTTTCACTCGTAGGTAGTTTCTAAAGTACAACAACAACCTAGTCGAATCCCACTAGTGGGGTTTGGGGAGAGTAGAGTATACGCAGACCTTACCCCTACCTCGGAGGGGTAGAAAGGTTGTTTCCGGGAGATCCTCGTCTCAAATACAAAAGATCCGTAACAACAACAGAAATCAAAAAAATAATATCAACATCTTGAGAGACAGCAAAATAAATGGAAGGGCAATAACACAAATACTATGCAAAAAGTGTGAAACACAACATAAACCGCTAGCAGTACTAGACAAAACACTATCAGACTAGACGGTACAAAGAGAAAAAAATGCTTGACTATCCCCTAACTTAAAACACTAATGCACGACCTCCGTACCTTCCTATAAAGAGCTATGTCCTCATAAATCTGGAGTTGCGTCATGTCCTTCCTGATCACCTCGCCCCAATACTTCTTAGGCCAACCTCTACCTCTTCTCATACCTTCCAAATACAACCGCTCACACCTCTTTACCAAGGCATCTATGCTTCTCCTCCGCACGTTCTCAAACCATCTAAGCATCGCTTCCCGTATCTTGTCGTCCATGTGAGCCACACCCACCATATCTCAAATATCTTCATTCTTAATCTTATCCAGCGTAGTGTGTCCATACATCCATCTTACCATCCTCATTTATACTACTTTTATCTTCTAGATATGCGAATTTTTGATTGGATAACACTCAGCCCCATATAACATGACCGGTCTAACCACCTCTCTACAAAACTTACCTTTAAGTTTTGCTGGCGCACTCTTGTCACACATGACTCCAAACGCTAATCTCTATTTCATCTACCCCACCCATGTACAGTGCATAACATCCTCGTCGATCTCTCTATCTCCCTGGATAATTGACCCTCAGTACTTAAAGCTTTCTCTCTTGGGGATGACTTGTGAGTCAAGCCTCACTTCTACGTCCGCTTCCCTTATCACGTTGTTGAACTTACACTCCAAAATATCATCTTAGTCCTACTCAAGCTTAAGCCTTCAGACTCTAGGGCTTGCCTCCATACCTCCAGTCTCTCATTAACGCCGCATCTCATCTCATCAATCAGAACTATATCATCAGTGAACAACATACACCATGACACCTCCCCTTAAATATGTTGTGTCAGTGCGTCCATCGCCAGGGTAAATGAGAACGGGATAAGCACAGATCCTTGGTGTAACCCCATGACCACCGGAAAAACTCTGAGTCACCTCCGATGGTACTAACCCGAGTCTTAGATCCATCATACATATCCTTTATAACCTTAATATAAGCTACCGACACACCTTTTACCTACATGAATCTCCAAAGAACGTCCCTAGGGACCTTGTCATATACCTTCTCTAGGTCAATAAATACCATATGCAAATCCCTCTTCCTATCCTTGTACTGTTCCACCAACCACCTGATAAGGTGGATAGCTTCCGTAGTAGAACGACCCGGCATGAACCAAAATTGGTTTTCTGATATAGACACCGCCTTCCTTACCCTCCCTTCCACCACCCTCTCCCAAACTTTCATTGTATGACTTAGTAACTTGATACCCTTATAGTTGTTACAATTCTGGATATACCTTTGTTCTTGTACAACGGAATCATCATACTCCACCTCCACTTATCTAGCATCCTCTTCATCCTGAAAATAACATTAAACAACCCAATCAGCCACTCCAAGCATGCTCTACCCACATACCTCCAAAATTCTACCAGAATCTTGTCTGGTCCGGTCGCTTTACCCCGACTCATCTTACGCAACGCTCCCATGACCTACTCAACCTTAATACGCCTACAGTACCTAAAGTCTTGGTGACTCTCAGAGTACCCCAATTCTCGTAGCACAATATTTCTGTCCCCCTCTTCATTTAGATGTTTATGAAAGTAAGACTGCCATATTTGCTTAATCTGGGCCTCTTCTATCAATACTCGACCTTCCTCGTCTTTGATGTACCTCACTTGATCCATGTCACAAGTTTCCTCTCTCTCGTTTTAGCCAGCCGAAATAACTTCTTGTCTACACCTTTTTCCCCCGGTTCCTTATACAGCTGACCAAACATAACAGTCTTAGCCTCCATAACCGCTAATTTTGCCTCCTTCCTATCTTCCTTATATCTTTCTCCGTTCCCTCTCCTCTACTACTCATCGGTGCTCTCCACTAACTTAAGGTATGCCGCTTTCTTTTGCTTCCACTTTATCTTGGACCACGTTATTCCACCACTAGTCACCTCGGTGCCCGCCAGAGTAATCCTTCCATACCCCTAACACCTCTCTCGCCGCCTCTCTTATATAGTACGATATTGCCATCCATATAACGCTAGTATCCCCACTACTCTTTCAGTCTCCCATAGCCGTCAGCCGTCATCCGCCCCTCTAACTCTTGTGCATTTTCCTTAGTCAAAGCTCCCCACCTAATCATTGGTTGACCTCGTACAAACCTCTTCTTCCTCCTTATCAAGATACCGACGTCCCTCACCAGGATCCTATGTTATGTCGCGAGGTTCTAACTGGGGAACACCTTACAATCACATCTCCTAAGGAGGAGATAGTCAATCTTAGTCTTAGCCACCATACTCCAAAAAGTAATCAAATAGGTAGTTTCTAAAGCTTATTTTGAATTGTTTGAACTCTATTTGGCTAGATTTGACTATTTTTTAGGCTTCTAAAGGAAACACCGTGGTTGGGTGTTGATTTGATTGCAAAAAGAGGCAAGTGTTGTGCCTAACTTTTCTTTGAGGGAATTAATATTTGTTGGTCTACTTGTTATGTGAATTATGTGAGGAAACGACATATATGCGAGGTGATGAGTGTATATGCACCGTCGTAGGGTTAAAGCATGTGGGATTGGGCTAGTTACTTCCATGTCTTCTTTGCACATCTCTCACCCAATATCTGTTTACTACTACATGCTTCTAATTGTATTAATTATATATCTTCGTTGTCTCATGTTCTACTTGCTTTTACTATTCTTATATTACTTGAAGTACTTGATTATGTCATTATGTTTATGTGAGCCATCTAGCTATTTTGGTATTATTATTTTATCAATGTTTGGGATTGTGAAGTATTGGATATTCTCCATTTGTTTGGGTAGTTCCTTACTGTTTCGCATGTTTCATCTCTCATTTGTGTTGATATTTCGGAAATAGTGGTGTTGAATAGTTTATGTTGAGAAATTGATATTGGGGGATCGGGTTGCACGCTACAACGGTATTGAAAGAAATTGATATTGGAGGATCGGGTTGCACGCCGCAACCGAATATGAAATGATATGATATTGATTTGGGAATGGATTGTACGTTGTAAAAGATATTGTGTTGAAACTTGGGATCGAATTGTACGTCGCAACATATTTGATGTGTTGTAGTTATTTGTGGCAGTAGAGTTTGCTCTTAGTATTGTGATATGAGATTTGAGATTTATGTTATTCTGGGGTCCCCTGGTTAGGGATGGGCATAAAATCCGAAAAATCAAATTTCGAAATGGACCGAATTAATTCGGTATTTCGGTTTCATTTTTTTGGTATTTCGATCTAATTCGGTATTATATTTTCGGTATTTTGGTATATTGGTATATTGGTACGGTACTCGGTATTAGGATCTTGAAATTTCGGTATACCGAAATACTGAATTTTAAGTTGAACCTATAGCTATAATGCCCAGCCCAAGTTGTATATCTAATGCCCATTGCCTAGCGCCCCAGCCCAACCCAATAAGGCCCTACTCTCTAGTTTTTCACTTATCTGATTCTTTCAATTAGGGATTAGCCAATTAGGGAATTAGAATTTAGAAAGGAAGAAAGACAAAGTCAGAAATGACGATAGTTTCTTTCAGCGAGAAGACCTTTGCTGTGAGAATAATAACAATATATAATCTTAGCAGCTATGGATAGTTACCCCTACTTAATCTTCATTTTTTTGTGCTTTACAGATATCCTTTTGATGAAGCTGCCACTGTGGCTATATCTACTGTCAAAGAATTTGGCAGTGACCTCAAAGAGGTACTATCTGCTTATGAATTTTGGTTTGCTCAGAACTTGATTGCAATATAGGTCATATATCTGTTGAGACTAAAATACTTCATAGTGTTCTTATCTTATGTTGGTGAAATTGTTCGCCTGAAGTTGATAATGGTGGATGTGGCTCCACTATTACTAATAGTATGTTGGCATCTTGTTCCTAGTTTTTATTTTATTTTTGCTGATAAATGTATATATATAATTACTAGCGTCTTAATAGTACCCAAGAAAGTGGCTGTATATAATGATTTGTGAAGGCTTAAGGCCTCCATGAAGCAGCCTGAGCCTCGTCTTTTACTGCATACTATTCTGATTGAGATGAACAATTTAATAGCTTAAACAGTTAAATGTCATAATAAAACATAATGTTTATAGCCTTGTATTATAAAAGTCACGTGGTCTGAATTTTCTCCTGCAACTTCAACTCTATGTATTTCCCGTGTACTGGTCTTGACAACTTTCTTATATACTTTAGTATGATTGCATATTTGGAACTTGAAAATTCTTTTCATTAGCTATGATCTTACGTGGATGTTCTGGAACAGCTTGTATGCTCTTAGTTCAACTTTTAATCCCTTAGAACTAGAAACTGCAGAATCTGCAGGATTGAATATAAAAGAGCCATGTCTAATTGTTGAAACACTGCAATTGCTTGAGTAATTATTCTAGTTATTCTTGCTTAGTAACTATTACTTTGATCTTGACACGTCTCTGAAAAATTTGTCGATATCATTTTCTGATGGAACTCGCTGAGGGACTTTTTTAGTTTCACATGTCTTTGATAATTTTCTGTTAGAATCTCTATTTTTTGTTTAATTCTGTTGCACTGTGTGAGTTAGGCAGAATTGTAAATTGTGCAATGTGTACTGTGAAGAATGAAGGCAGTTTCTGTTTATCCATGTTGTATCATTGTTTTTAGCGTCCAGACAGTTTCTGTTTCTTGCCTTGAATTGTGCTTACTCTTTAGACCTTAAACTGCACGGAGAATTGTGATCACTGAATTGTGAATTGTGAAAGAAATTGTTAGGCGTCAACTGCACTCCTTAGAATTGTAAATTGTGAATTGTCAAAGGAAATAATGGTTCTTAACAGCTTACTGTTAGCGACAACGTTGTCAAAGAGGACTGACCAAGTTAGTTTGAATTGTGCACTGTTGCACTCCTTAGTCCTTAATTGTTAGTTTTGCTTATTTAGCGATTATTAAATTGAAATCGTACCAAAACCATACCGAACCAAAATAAAAAATATCGAATCGTACCGAAATAATTTGGTACGGTATTTGGTATACACAATTGATAAACCGAATACCGAACCGAAATTCTTAAAGACACTTAAATAAGTATGTTCAAATTTTGAATTTTTTTTAAATTTTTTTAAAGTGGGTGTTATTTAGACATGTTAGAATTAGTCTAAATAGGTTATTTACAAAATTTAAAGTCATTTAATGGAGAAAGATCTACACCGTTAAGTTTAATTTATTAGTGTTAATACCATCTTTACAACCAAACATTAAAAAAAATTTGAGACTCCAGTAAAACTTTTATTCCATCCTCTAATAAATGTTTCATAAAAAATAATGGTACTATACAATTTTCTTGATATGAATGTTCCACGAAAATTAATGATGTTATACAATTTGCATGATATGAAGCCTGTGCTTAAGAGAACATTATCCTTTAATTTTTTTTTAAGCAAAGTCAGTTTGAAAACCTGAAAAATATCTTTAATTTTCCACCACCTTCTATGTGTCCTTGATTACTTTTCTTAATCAAGGACCTGACCTGCCGTTTTGTGTAGTGTAGCTCAGTTCTCACGTTGACACAGTTAGTCCAAAGTTGAAGGTTTAAGTATAAAAAGTTATAATTGTTATATGTTTGCATCTCTTCCCTTTTCTCTCTCTTTCTACTTAATTTTCCAATATGATTTTTTCTAGGCATGCATGGAGAAAAAGAAGTACAACAACAATTCACCATAATCAAAGTGTAGAACCGAGAAACGGCAAAAACCGAGTGATAATCCTTTTTTGAGTTGAAATTTGAGTTTGATCTTAAGTTTTTCTGCTCGATTATTGCTCTATTCCAGCTTTTCCTTAGTTTCTTCTTCGCTCTGGCCATTAGCTTTTATTTGATTTCTACATTTTTCCATTTGCTCTTTGGTTTTAGGGTTTATCATATATGTGAATTCTGTGGAGTTTCTTGGTGTTGGGATTTTGATGATATGTGTTGGTTTTTTCAGTTTCGCTTTTTGTGTTTTTGGCCTATGTTCTCTTTTTTCCTTTATTTGTTTTACTCGTGTCTTGGTGATGAGATTTTGATAGATATCTTTTATTTTCTTCTTATTTAGGACTATTTTGATGGTTATGTGAAATTGATGAAGGGTTGCTGACGACTTTGCCCTAACTGCTTTGGGATGGTTAACTCATATCACTCTTTCATATATTTTCTTAAAATTCCATGCCATATGTTCGACCAATTGGCTGAATGACATTGGAACCTTAGAACTAATACATAAATACGATCAAAAATGTTTTCATTCTATATATTTTGAGACTTAAGACCTTAAACATATCCTTTTATATGCAAGCATTAGAAATACTTGCGGAAAAAATTGTATTCATGAAGAATCAAAGACTCCAAGTGCATTGGAAATAAAAAGTAACTGAATCAGTTGACTCAGCTCTGAAAATTGAGTGACGAGAATTGTCTTCACAAAACCTACGACGTTTTCTCTAAGCTTTTTCATTGTTTTTTTTTTCTCATCCTTCTTCATGATTAATTTTAGTTGATTTCACTAGAGAAAGTTTCTCCCATGTGGAAGCATCAATGTCCGTTTTTTGTATTTTTTTTTATTTGCGGAGTAATTATTTTAACTCGAAAATTGAGGTAGTTAGAGTATTTCGCAACTTTGCTCTGAAAATGGCAAGTTCTCTTATATTTTGTGGTAATTACTGTTTGTTTCTTCCCCTCTCCTGTTTGTTTTATCTAACCATTACCGACGCCTTCTCATATCCTGTATACGGTCAAAACGGGCTTGCCTTTTGATGACTGATCGAGACTGGAATGTGATAGGTCAAGCTTCGGTATTTATCCAATCATGGGATTTCTTACTGTATTTAGAGTTGTAACTAAAGTAGGAATCCCCTACTATATAAAGAGGGTCTGGTAATTTGTAAAAGAGCATTATATTCACGTAATACAAAGCAATACACTGTCTTCTTTTAGCTTTCAATATTCTGTTGCTCTGTTCATATATATCAGTAGAATCTTCACTTGGTTCGAGGGTGACCTAACTCGAGGACCAAAGCTATACATTTCATTTGGTTTTCATTTATTTCTTTTTACAATCAATTTCAATATCAATTTATATATTCTCAGTTTGTGTCAAGTAAAATCACGTGTCCTTAAAACTACGTATAAATTCAATTGTTATCCGTTTTTAGGATAAACAGTTTGGCGCTTACAGGGGGCTAAGGATAATAGTGATTTCCTGGTACTAACCTTCGTAACCCATACTATTTTACAGTTGTTCTTGTGAGTATCTTTGATTCCAGGATCAACATGTCAAACTGTCAAGCAGCACCCGTACACATGGATAATGACCTCGGTAACCATGACAAAAATGACAACATAGCCGCCCCAGGGAATGAAGTACCTCCACCCTCGTTGGAGTTCCGACCGTAGACCCAATCAACATCAGCTTCCATGTTGCCATTAATGCAAATTTGGTCGTCGATCCCGAGAGTAGCGTCCGTAGAGATGTTCGATCGGCCGGTCAGAGCACACAGGGTGGTGAAGAAGGCAGAATCAGCCTTAGGGTGATATTCGAGATGTTGCAGGCTCAACAAGCTGCAATAGCACAACTCCAAAACCAGAACCACACACCAAGCAGGATTGAGCCAGAGCCGTCCTAGGATGTTGTTCATAGGGTCGAATCGGTGTCAAGGAGATCGAACGAAAATGAATCAGGGACTAATCCCGCAATCATGAAAATGCTCGAAGAACTAACAAAGCGAGTTGAATCGGGGGAAAAGAAGATTGAACAAAATGACAAGAAGGTGGAAACCTATAATTCTAGAGTTGATCAAATCCCGGGGGTACCACCGATATTGAAGGGTTTGGATTCAAAAAAGGTCGTACAGAAGCCCTTCCCCCCGAGCGCGGCTCCTAAACCGATTCCCAAGAAGTTTCGCATGCTAGAAGCTCCCAAGTATAATGGAACAACTGACCCCAACGAGCATGTCACTTCTTACACATATGCAATTATGGGGAATGATCTGGAGGACGGTGAGATCGAGTCCGTATTATTGAAGAAATTTGGGGAGACCCTGTCAAAGAGAGAGATCATATGGTACCATAATTTGCCACCCAACTCCATTGATTCTTTTTCCATGCTTGTATATTCTTTCGTTAAAGCACATGCCAGAGCCATAAAGGTCGAGACTAGAAAGTCGGACCTCTTCAAGGTAAAGCAGAAAGATAACGAGATGCTCAGAGAGTTTGTGTCTCGGTTCCAAATGGAATTAATAGATCTACCACCGGTCACTGATGATTGGGCCGTTCAAGCCTTCACTCAAGGACTAAATGTAAGAAGCTCAGTGGCTTCACAGCAGTTGAAGCAGAACTTGATTGAATACCCAGCTATTACCTGGGCCGATGTGCATAATCGGTACCAATTGAAGATTAGAGTCGAAGACGACCAGCTGGGGACTCATTCCGGGTCTGTTTATCCTATCAGGCCCGTCGACAGAGTCAAAAGGGACATCGATTGAGAACCACGGTCGAACAGGGATCGTTACCAGCCATATAATTGAGATCGTAGAGGCAACAAACCTGGGCGCAACCCTGTTCGAGGAGAAAGGAGAAATAATCGAGGCTAGAGCTCTCGAGGGATCATGAGAAATAATGGTTTCGACAGGAATGCTGGGCCCAAAGAAGCACCACGACTGTCAGAATATAACTTCAGTGTTGATGCATCCGCCATCGTATCGGCTATCGTACGTATCAAGGATACTAGATGGCCTCAACCTCTGCAGACTGATCCAGCCCAGAGAAATCCCAACCAAATGTGCAAGTATCATGGCACACATGGCCATAGAACAGAAGATTACAGACATCTGAGGGAGGAAGTAGCCCGGTTGTTCAATGATGGGCACCTTCAGGAATTCTTAAGTGATCGATCCAAGAATCACTTTAGAAATAGAGATCCCAACAGATAGAATGAGCAAGAAGAACCGCAACACGTCATTCACATGATTGTTGGAGGGGTCGATATTCCCCAAGAACCAGTATTAAAATGCACCAAGGTATCGATCACGAGGGAGAAGTGAACTCGGGATTACATACCAAAAGGAACCTAATCTTTCAACGACGAGGACGCAGAAGGGATCATGAATCCCCATAAAGATGCACTGGTAATATCTGTACTTATGAATAAGACTCAAGTTAAACTTGTTTTAATTGATCCAGGTAGCTCGACCAACATCATTCGATCGAGGGTCGTAGAATAACTCGGCCTACAGGATCAGGTTGTGCCCTCGACCTGAGTACTAAACGGCTTCAACATGGCATGTGCAACCACCAAAGGCGATATAACTTTGCCAGTGAACGTGGTCGGGACCATCCAAGAGATGAAGTTCCATGTGATCGAGGGCGATATGAGGTATAACGTCCTATTCGGGAGGCCGTGGATCGATAATATGAGGGCAGTGCCCTCGACCCTTCACCGGGTTCTACAATTCCCAACACCAGAGAGAGTCAAAATAGTCTATGGGGAGCAACCCGCCGCCAAGGAAATGTTTGCCGTCGACGAAGTGATACCGATATCATCACTCTCATCAACGAAAGGGTCAAATTCGAAGGGAAAACATGAGGCAAAATAGCAACTACAGATGCCGGCCTCGACCCAACTAGAGAAGCAGGGAACTGATAAAGATGATGATTATGGAGTCCCTCGATCCTTCATAGTACCCGATGATTCCGACGCCACCAAGTTAATGGTTGAAGAGCTGGAACAAGTCATACTGATCGAACATCAGCCCGAACGAAAGGTATACCTGGGTACGGGGCTAACTCCCGAGCTCAGGAGAAAACTTATTTAATTCCTTAAAGCTAACATGGATTGCTTTGCTTGGTCCCATCTCAATATGATAGGGATCCCACTGGAAATCACCACCCATAAACTAAGCATGGACCCAAAGTTCCATCCGGTGAAGCAATAAAGAAGACCCCAGTCCGAGGTCAAACATGATTTCGTCAAAGACGAGGTAACCAAACTTCTTAAAATAGGGTCCATCTGGGAAATAAAATATCTCGAATGGTTAGCAAACGCAGTAGTAGTCCCCAAGAAGGGAAACAAACTTAGAATGTGTGTAGATTACAAAGATCTAAATAAAGCATTCCCAAAGGATTCTTTTCCTATGCCTAATATCGATCGCATGATCGATGCCACGGCCGACACGAGATCCTCAGTTTTCTCGATGCCTATTCGGGGTACAACCAAATACAGATGAACACGGAAGATCAGGAAAAGATCTCGTTCATCACTAAGTATGGTACTTAGTGATGTAATGCATTTCCATTCGGATTAAAAATGCTGATGCCACCAATCAACGCCTATTAAATCGAATGTTCGAAGAACAAATAGGGAAATCTATGGATGTTTATATTGATGACATGCTAGGTAAGTCCCTGCGAGCAGAGGACCATTTGAAGCATTTGCAGGAAACTTTCAGTATACTGAAGAAATAAAACATGAAGCTGAACCCAGAAAAATGCGCATTTGGGGTTGGGTCAAGCAAATTTCTCGGTTTTATGGTATCCAACCGAGGAATCAAAATCAACCCCGACAAGATCAAATCTATCGAGAACATTACGATAGTAGACAACGTAAAGACTGTGCAAAGATTAACCGCGCGCATAGCCGCCCCGGGGCGATTCATCTCGAGGTCCTCCGATAAGAGTCATCGATTCTTCTTGTTGCTAAAGAAAAAGAATAACTTCACGTGGACTCGAGAAATGCCAATAGGCCCTGGAGGAGCTTAAACGGTACTTATCGGTCCCGCCGCTGCTTAACACGCCGAGGGTAGACGAACAACTTTACTTGTATCTGGCATTATCGGAGCTAGCGGTAAGTGGAGTCCTGGTCCGAGAGGAATGAGGTACGCAATTCCCTATCTATTATGTTAGTCAAACCTTAGGTGAGGCCGAAACTAGGTATCCCCACCTAGAAAAATTGGCGCTCGCTTTGATAAGCACCTCTAGGAAACTAAAACCATACTTTCAATGTCACCCCATATATGTTGTAACAACTTATCCACTTCGAAATATTTTGCATAAGCCCGAGCTTTCGGGACGGTTGGACAAATGAGCCATAAAAATTAGCGGATATGATATTGAATATTGACCTCGAACAACCATTAAGTCTCAAATATTGGTAGACTTCGTGGCTGACTTCACACCAGCCCTAGTACCCAAGGTTGAAAGAGAACTATTAGTAAACTCAGGTACATCCTTAGGAATCTGGACCCTCTTTATGAATAGTGCTTTGAACGCAAAGGGGTACGGAATCGGCATCGTGCTATAACCATCCGCAGGTAACGTGGTTAGATAATCTATTAGAACTGTAAAATTGACTAACAACGAGGCCGAATATGAGACCATGATTGCAGGTCTCGAACTAGCCAAAGTCTTGGGAGCGGAGGTGATCAAAGACAAATGTGACTCCCTCCCATGGTGAATCAGGTTAACGGAACTTTTGAAGTTAGAGAAGAACGAATGCAAAGATACCTAGATAAGCTACAAGTAACTTTACACCGGTTCAAGGAATGGACTTTGCAACATGTGCCTCGAGATCAGAATAGTGAGGCTGATGCCCTCGCAAACTTAGGGTCATCGGTTGAAGACAACAAACTCAATTCGAGGGCTGTCATGCAGCTTATGAGGTCAGTGGCCGAAGAAGGCCACACCGATATAAACTTCACAAGTTTGACCTAGGATTGGAGAAACAAATACATAGAATATTTGAAGAACGAGAAGCTTCTTTTAGATCCAAAAGAATCGAGAGCCCTACGCACAAAGGCAGCATGATTCACCTTGTCTGAAGACGAAACCTTGTTCAGAAGGATGTTCGATGGTCCACTAGCAATATGTCTGGGACCGGGAGATACTGAATATGTTTTGA